TTTCTCCCTATTGCAACACAAGATTTCATATAAATTGCTCAGGCTGGCCTTGAGACCAAGTTGAATCCCATAAAGGACTTAACTTTGTCCCTGCTTTCTCAACCTCCTGAATAATCATCCCAAAACAAATCCCCAGACCTTAGCACAACTGACTCCATGGTAGAAGTACAATTCAGGCCATAAAATCTGCCTGTACACAACACAGCACCCAAGCCTACAAGAAGTTCTGTTTTTCACCAGTACCTCAGTTCATTCTTTCCTGCATCAAGAAATCAACATGAACAAACCCTATTTACAAACACATTCACTCATACTGGAGGATTACTGAGGCCTAGCTGTACTTTCTACTCATGATGGCAATGATTCATCAAATATCAAACTCATACAGAAATGAAAAGAGGAAAGGAAACAAAAGAATGAGAGGAAGGAAGGAAGGAAGGAAGGAAGGAAGGAAGGGAGGGAGGGAGGGAGGGAGGGAGGGAGGGAGGAAGGAAGGAAGGAAGGAAACATAAACAAGAAAGAGAATGAAAGAAAAAAATTCTTAGATTCTTCTCAGTGACTTGAAGGATACATAATGAGTTCCAGAGAGGCCTGAGTAATACAGTCTTACTGTAGAAAAATTAAAAACCATGCGAGAGCTCAGAGTTTAAGGAGAAGTGTCATGAATAAGTCTGGGATCTTGCCAGAACCTCAGATTAGCATTTTACCTGGTTCTAACAGGTTTTTTCAAGAATATATGAAGCTGGTTGTGTTCACTATATAGGGTGCATATCATGACACTCTATGTACCTCTGCTTCAAAAAGTGTACCTGAATACTTAGAGAGTTCTGGAAATAAAAGTCTAACGTAGAATTCACTCCAAAGTATTAAAAGCTCCACCTCTTTCCCTTATTAGAAATTAACTAGTAATGGGATCCTTGAAGTACCTCTCACACTAAATCATGATGAATGGTAGAGTCATATTTCTGGGTTGGGCCTTAGTCACAGAGGAAGAAGTAAGCTAAGGTGATGAGCTTGTACTGCATCTCGAACAATGCTGTCAACATAAGAATAAAATTAAATCAGAAGTACAATCTCACATCATAACACAGGTTTAGTCAGACTGAGAAACTAGAATTGGTGAACAAATAGAGTGGCAGCTAATCTTAGGTACACAGTGAAAGTAACTCCATCTCAAAAAATTAAAAAGCAAAGTACATAGATCAATTTTAAAAGTTTTTTTTTTGTCTGTTTGGGATTTTTGCTTTCTCCTTTTGTTTGTTTTGCTTTCCTTTGTTTATTTCAAGACAGAGTTTCTCTGTTTGACCCTGACTGTTCTGGAACTTACTCTGTGGACAAAGCTGCCTTGGAACTCAGAGATTCACCTACATCTGCCTAAGGAGTGCTGGGATTAAAGGCACAACCAAATGGCTTCAATAAATCCATTCTTGATATGTCTGACCTAAGTTTCTTCCTAAGTATGGATCTGATACAATCCACCTATACCATCAAAATATGAAAATTTTTGCAAGTGGGTAGATTCTCAATTATCGAATCAGAGGCCAATTTTGGCTGGGAGGGTGTGGCTACAAAGGGAGGGTTCAAAGGGAGGGTTCAATGGAAAGGTACATAAAGAGTCAGAGCATCCAGTTGAAAAGTATTCAAAAAGTCACAGCATCCAAGAATACCTCAGAGTTTTGGTGCCTTCCCCTGCCTGGATTCAGAGAACTTTCACCAGGATTCAGATCAGGTAAGTCCCTTAGCTCCACCAGGAAGCTTCATCTCATGCAAGCTAGTCTAACTCTGGTCTCACTTCAAGTCTAGTCTA